ACAGCATCTAGTAAAGATGAGGTCAAGCGTATTGCCTGCCTTGTGAGTAGGGGGGGACGGTGAGAGGGTGAGGTCAAAAGAGGAGAGGAGTGGAAAGAAGGAGGCAGAGAGAATGAGTCAAAGGTAGACGTAGGGACGTTGAAGTCACCCAGAACTGTGAGGGGTGAGCCATCCTCAGGAAAGGAACTTATCAAGGCGTCAAGCTCATTGATGAACTCTCCAAGGGAACTTGGAGGGCGATAAATGACAAGGATGTTAAGCTTGAATGGGCTAGTGACTGTGACAGCATGGAATTCAAATGAGGATATAGACAGATGGGTCAGGGGAAAAGAGAGAATGTCCACTTGGGAGAGATGAGGATTCCTGAGCCACCACCCCGCTGACCAGATGCTCTCAGGGTATGCGAGAACACATGGTCAGACGAGGAGAGAGCAGTAGGAGTAGCAGTGTTTTCAGTGGTAATCCATGTTTCCGTCAGCGCCAAGAAGTCGGGGGACTGGAGGGTAGCATAGGCTGAGATAAACTCTGCCTTGTTGGCCGCAGAACGGCAGTTCCAGAGGCTGCCGGAGACCTGGAACTCCACGTGGGTGGTGCGTGCAGGGACCACCAGGTTAGAGAGGCAGCAGCCACGTGGTGTGAGGCGTTTGTATAGCCTGTGCGGAGAGGAGAGAACAGGGATAGACAGAGGCATAGTTGACAGGCTACAGAAAATGGCTACAATAATGCAAAGGAGATCGGAATGAAATGAACTAAACATCTGGGAAAGCGAGAGAGCGGGGCCTCCCTCACTTACGTTTCACTGAAACACCCAAATATAACTCTCCCAACTTCCACCTCAGAAACTATAATTGTTGTAAACTACAGCGGTTCAATGTTTTCTAGGAATAGACTAACTTAGTTTATTCAGCTAGCTAACTTGGTACAGTATTCTTCCGTGAAAACCGTCCAGGGCACTTAGTCACATGACGCCACAGCCAACTAGCATGCCGGACTCCAACAACACAGTTTAGCACCAATACTCGGCCACAACAAACCACCAGTGTGTCAACACGCCAAGCAGATCATTCGTGTCCGTGTGTAACGTTGTGGGTTAGTCCCGACAACATGAGCGAGTCCGTCGTCAACTTATTCAGCCAGTTAGTTAGCTAGAATAGTTAGCATACTAGCTAGCCATTGCTTTCTGCCAACGAAGAAACCCCTCCTCCCACGGCACGAACACACAGAGAGAGCCAAGCTAACGTTAACTAGTCACCCATGTCCCGAATTCCTTGAACGACTCTGGCTACCAGTATGTAAAAACAAAACACAAATGTAGGTTATAACTTACCCCTAGCAGCTACTGTTAGCTAGCCAAGTGCAAAGCTAGCCACTGAATTGACTCAGCCAGTTCGCGTCTGTTCGCTAGGTCGTTCCAGCTACTGTTTAGTAGCTATCCAGGTAGCAACAATCTAGCTACATTTCAAGCACAGTAGCCACTTACTACCTAACGTTAACACTTCAGAAAATGAGGTTAGAAAAACTGCTGAATGGTAGGCATTATTGTATGTAATTATTGTAGGCAGCTAGCTGGCGTAATTACAGGTACTCTCAGGCGTGAAACAACTACAGTGGGGAAAAAAAGTATTTAGTCAGCCACCAATTGTGCAAGTTCTCCCACTTAAAAAGATGAGAGAGGCCTGTAATTTTCATCATAGGTACACGTCAACTATGACAGACAAATTTAGAAAACAAAATCCAGAAAATCACATTGTAGGATTTTTTATGAATTTATTTGCAAATTATGGTGGAAAATAAGTATTTGGTCACCTACAAACAAGCAAGATTTCTGGCTCTCACAGACCTGTAACTTCTTCTTTAAGAGGCTCCTCTGTCCTCCACTCGTTACCTGTATTAATGGCACCTGTTTGAACTTGTTATCAGTATAAAAGACACCTGTCCACAACCTCAAACAGTCACACTCCAAACTCCACTATGGCCAAGACCAAAGAGCTGTCAAAGGACACCAGAAACAAAATTGTAGACCTGCAACAGGCTGGGAAGACTGAATCTGCAATAGGTAAGCAGCTTGGTTTGAAGAAATCAACTGTGGGAGCAATTATTAGGAAATGGAAGACATACAAGACCACTGATAATCTCCCTCGATCTGAGGCTCCACGCAAGATCTCACCCCGTGGGGTCAAAATGATCACAAGAACGGTCAGCAAAAATCCCAGAACCACACGGGGGGACCTAGTGAATGACCTGCAGAGAGCTGGGACCAAAGTAACAAAGCCTACCATCAGTAACACACTATGCCACCAGGGACTCAAATCCTGCTGCGCCAGACGTGTCCCCCTGCTTAAGCCAGTACATGTCCAGGCCCGTCTGAAGTGTGCTAGAGTGCATTTGGATGATCCAGAAGAGGATTGGGAGAATGTCATATGGTCAGATGAAACCAAAATATAATTTTTTGGTAAAAACTCAACTCGTCGTGTTTGGAGGACAAAGAATGCTGAGTTGCATCCAAAGAACACCATACCTACTGTGAAGCATGGGGGTGGAAACATCATGCTTTGGGGCTGTTTTTCTGCAAAGGGACCAGGACGACTGATCCGTGTAAAGGAAAGAATGAATGGGGCCATGTATCGTGAATTTTTAAGTGAAAACCTCCTTCCATCAGCAAGGGCATTGAAGATGAAACGTGGCTGGGTCTTTCAGCATGACAATGATCCCAAACACACCGCCCGGGCAACGAAGGAGTGGCTTTGTAAGAAGCATTTCAAGGTCCTGGAGTGGCCTAGCCAGTCTCCAGATCTCAACCCCATAGAAAATCTTTGGAGGGAGTTGAAAGTCCGTGTTGCCCAGCGACAGCCCCAAAACATCACTGCTCTAGAGGAGATCTGCATGGAGGAATGGGCCAAAATTGGGCCAGCAACAGTGTGTGAAAACCTTGTGAAGACTTACAGAAAATGTTTGACCTGTGTCATTGCCAACAAAGGGTATATAACAAAGTATTGAGAAACTTTTGTTATTGACCAAATACTTATTTTCCACCATAATTTGCAAATAAATTCATTAAAAATCCTACAATGTGATTTTCTGGATTATTCTTTCTCATTTTGTCTGTCATAGTTGACGTGTACCTATGATGAAAATTACAGGCCTCTCTCATCTTTTTAAGTGGGAGAACTTGCACAATTGGTGGCTGACTAAATACTTTTTTTCCCCACTGTATCCACAGTTGCTAATAGTTACCAGTAGCTACCCGCTAGCTAGTCCAGGTAGTGGGTTAGCTAGCTTCGTGCTTCACCGGGCTCAGCCGAATACAATACTAACCTACAATAATTACATACACAACCCACGATAACTACCTACAATATCTAACTACAATCTAAATACATAGTTTAAGCTTTACTCGACAAAGCCCAAACTATGTATATAAGCCATATAAGCCAAGCTTACCTCCCGCCAGAGAGAGACACAACCTCACCCGATGACGACCACAGGACCAGAGGACATTTCTCCAAAAAGTACGATCTTTGTCTCCATGTGCAGTTGCAAACCGTAGTCTGGCTTTTTTATGGCGGTTTTGGAGCAGTGGCTTCTTCCTTGCTGAGCGGCCTTTCAGGTTATGTCGATATAGGACTTGTTTTACTGTTGATATAGATACTTTTGTACCTGTTTCCTCCAGCATCTTCACAAGGTCCTTTGCTGTTGTTCTGGGATTGATTTGCACTTTTCGCACCAAATTACGTTCATCTCTAGGAAACAGAACACGTCTCCCTCCTGAGCGGTATGACGGCTGCGTGGTCCCATGGTGTTTATAATGCGTACTATTGTTTGTACAGATGAACGTGGTACCGTCAGGCGTTTGGAAATTGCTATGAAGGATGAACCAGACTTGTGGAGGTCTACAGTTTTTTTTCTGAGGTCTTGGCTGATATCTTTTGATTTTCCCATGATGTCAAGCAAAGAGGCACTGAGTTTAAAGGTAGGCCTTGAAATACATCCACAGGTACACCTCCAATTGACTCAAATAATGTCAATTAGCCTATCAGAAGTTTCTTATGCCATGACTCAGTCGGGATCTCAACTTGCTGTTGCGAGTTGGAATAATAGAATCCACAAGGTGCAATTTCAAAATTTGGTTGTGCATCAGCAGTGTTTCTCTTGTTATGTCAGTCACTGATAGTCAGTCAATTAGCCCAAGTTTGTTTAGTAGCCAGCTATCTATCTATCTTGTCATCATGGTCGAATTACCGGCATGGGGGCCCCCATTGATTTTAGTAGTCAGTCTCACTCAGATATCCTATTGAAGGTTCTTGGATAAATACAATAAAATAAACCAATTAATATTATTATTAAATTTTTTGGGAACTTATTTTTGTTAGTCAGTCTCACACAGATATCATATTATAAACTGCAAACATTTCACACCACACAGATAATACCATGTTGAAAGTGTAGCCCTGTCCATACATGTCCTCTTTTAGTTTTTGTTCCACTTTTCTCAGAAGCTGTCTCATACCACATAGTTCAGTCTATCTGTGGCTGGTAATACTATCCTGTACAGAAGGCTAGTTGATTTGGACAGTCTCCTATTCTGTTGTTGGATATATGGGGGGAAAATCCTACAGAAGACTTTAGAATGATTTAACACAACCAGTTCAGAACACACTTTACGCTAGTTTCCCCCCTTGCGTATCAGCAACGTAAGGTTTTGAATATACATTTCAGACCAGATGTCAAATACAGAAACCATTTGAGCCATGTGTTTTCATGGGATCAAATAATATGAGTGGATTCATGGCTGTTATACAATATAATTATGAATTAAATGTTGGTTCACCAGCCTGACCACACAAAGAGGGCTGCTTTGAATTTAGCGACACTGATGAAAATATGTTGGAGATGTGTGTATCAGGCGTACATCAACCTTGTTCCTGTCCTCCCTCTCTCTCACAGACCCCTCCGGTCAGCTGTCCTCACCATCGCTCCGCTCACACCACGTCCATAGGGGAATGGGTGCTCACCCCCTGCACCCATCTCTGCTCATCCCGTCCTCGGTGAGCTACTCAGGCCCTCCACACTCCGTCAGCAGCCGCCCAGCGGGACACCACTCTACCTCCTCCAACATGGGTTTCAGCCCACAGGTAAGGCCTCCAACGCAACCTACGACCCCCAGACACCACACTCAACCACCTGCTCCTTGGACATGGTTTTCCTTCCTTAGTTGGGGTCCTGTGAAGAGTTGACTTGGTGTATGGCTGGCTTGCTAGGTTTCCATGATAAATTCTGTAAAACCAAATGTTGCCAAATGAAACTCTATACAAGCTCGTCTGTAAGGATTCGGGATGGCAACATGTGCATTGTGTAAAAGGATGGCCAAATGTGAGGATAACCTTTTTCACGACCCACAAGCTGAGGCCTGGGTAACCTTGAATTTATGTGAAACTGAGAAATGCCAGGGTTGCCCATTTATATCTGAAAAGGTCTCAAGAGGCTTTGTGGAATGCAAATTCATATGACATAGTAATGGGCTTGACAAACTGGATAAAAAGGCCTTTTGTTTCTAGACGGTTATTTCCTATTTTTCATCAGTGTAATCAACTAAACCCTGAGTTATTCCTTTTGAAGAATAGTTGAACAGAAAGGAGAGCTACATTTAGATGTCTTTATCCACTTAAGCTGATGCAGTACTGTACTGTCGCATTACACAGAGCTCTCTGTGCTATACTGTGCTAATGCATAGCATTAAGTTGTTAGCACCATATAGTATTCTGATGGCATTCTCTGCTTGTGCAAATAGGAAGGTTATCAGCAGGTTGTACTTCACTGTTACTTATTAAAGGCCTGGAAGCTTTCAATAGTAAAACATTTTGTCACGATCGTCATACATAGAGGAGGACCAAGGCGCAGCGTGTTGAGCGAACATACTTTAATAGTTAAAGTGCACACACGATGCAAAACAACAAAACGACTCGTAACGTCCTAGGTAACAATGACCAACTGGAACAAGAACCCACAAACACAAAGGGAAAACAGACAGTTAAATATGGCTCCCAATCAGAGACAACCAACGACAGCTGACACTCGTTGCCTCTGATTGGGAGTCACTCTAGCCAACATAGAAATAAACACAACTAGAACTACCAACATAGAAATCTAACACATAGAATGAACACACCCTGGCTCAACATATAGAGTCCCAGAGCCAGGGTGTGACAGTACCCCCCCCCCCCTAAAGGCGCGGACTGCGACCGCGCCTCAACTAGAGCAAAACAGGGGAGGGCTGGGTGGGCATACCTCCTCGGCGGCGGTTCTGGCTCCGGCCTTGCCCACCACCCTCCAATAAACCCCCCATAGCGCCCCTGGTCCGGTCTGGCCCCGCTGGCTGGAGCTGAACTGGACGTAGCAGGAGCGGTTAGCTTCAGCTCCGTTGTGGAGCAGTTGACCGGTACCTGATTAGGCACCGGTGACCCAGGCACGGGTTGTGCCGGACTGACGACGCACACCCCTGGCTTGGTGCGTGAGGCAGGAAAGGACCGGACCGGGCTGACGATGCGCACCCCTGGCTTGGTGCGTGGAGCAGCAACGGGCCGGACCGGGCTGACGATGCGCACCCCTGGCTTGGTGCGTGGAGCCGGAACGGGCCTCACCGGACTGACGATGCGCACCCCTGGCTTGGTGCGTGGAGCAGCCACGAGCCGGACCGGGCTGACGATGCGCACCCCTGGCTTGGTGCGTGGAGCCGGAACGGGCCTCACCGGACTGACGACTCGCACCCCTGGCTTGGTGCGTGGAGCCGGAACGGGCCTCACCGGACTGACGACTCGCACCCCTGGCTTGGTGCGTGGAGCCGGAACGGGCCTCACCGGACTGACGACTCGCACCCCTGGCTTGGTGCGAGTAGCAGGAACGGGCTGGACCAGGCTGACGACTCGCACCCCTGACTTGGTGCGAGTGGCAGGAACAGGCCGGGCCAGGCTGGCGACGCGCACCGTAGGCTTGGTGCGAGTGGCAGGAACAGGCCGGGCCGGGCTGGCGACGCGCACCGTAGGCTTGGTGCGTGGAGCAGGAACAGGCCGGACCGGGCTGGCGACGCACACCGTAGGCTTGGTGCGTGGAGCAGGGACAGGCCGGACTGGGCTGGCGACGCACACCGTAGGCTTGGTGCGTGGAGCAGGGACAGGCCGAACCGGGCTGTGGAGACGGATAGGAGACCTGGAGTGAAGAGCGGCCACAACCCGTCCCGGCTGAATGCCTACCTTCACACACTCTGTTTGAGGCATCCGCACAGGACGTACAGGGCTGTGTACCCGTACTGGCATAACAGCACGTGACACTGGAGCAGGATATCCGGGACCGCGGAGAGGCATTGGAGACCACGAGCGTTGAGCCAGCACACTCCGTCCTGGCTGCATACCCACCTTCGCACGACACGTGCGGGGTGCTCGCACAGGACGTACAGGACTATGCCGGACCACTCGTGGCACAGTACGCCGCTCCGCATACCGCGGAACCTGCCCCGTCCCATGCTGCCATGCCTGAGTACGGGAAGTTGGTTCCGCTCTCCATCCAGGCTCCGCCAACCTGCCTTCTGGCCCCCCTAACCCGGTGGCCTCCTCTCCAAATCGCCCTGTGGCAGCCTCCTGCTGCCCAGCCGCCCATGCCGTGTGCCCCCCCCTAAAAAATTTTTGGGGTTGCCTCTCGTCCGTCCGACGATGACACTGCTGACGCCGCTGCTCCTCTCTCGCCAGGGCCTTAATCCTAGCCCATGGTCCTTTTCCCCCGAGCATGTCCTCCCAGGACCATACTTTGCCCACCTGGGCCATCGCCAACCTCTCCATCTCCTTTCCCGGCGCTTCCTCCCATGTCCAGTCTGCCTGCTCCTGGACACGCTGCTTGGTCCTTGTATGGTGGGGTTTTTCTGTCACGATCGTCATACATAGAGGAGGACCAAGGCGCAGCGTGTTGAGCGAACATACTTTAATAGTTAAAGTGCACACACGATGCAAAACAACAAAACGACTCGTAACGTCCTAGGTAACAATGACCAACTGGAACAAGAACCCACAAACACAAAGGGAAAACAGACAGTTAAATATGGCTCCCAATCAGAGACAACCAACGACAGCTGACACTCGTTGCCTCTGATTGGGAGTCACTCTAGCCAACATAGAAATAAACACAACTAGAACTACCAACATAGAAATCTAACACATAGAATGAACACACCCTGGCTCAACATATAGAGTCCCAGAGCCAGGGTGTGACACATTTCTTATGATACTTATTTAAACAGAGGACTTCTTCTTGCAGGTGTTATGGAAAATGCCAATGTTTGTCATTTAACTTCAATTATTACCAAATTGTATGTGCGCCTATGTTAGTGCTCATGGGGAATCCAAGATGGCGTAGCAGTGTGTTCGTGCTACTTGCTATTAGCCACCGTTAGCAGTCTTCACCATTGTCCATGGCCTGCACTACCTACCAGCCAGCTCTAGCCTGGACGATTATCGGCCAGTCTCCACATCGCGCTATCGAGCCATAGCATATCGGATTTTCTGCCGGAATCACTGAATCACTGGACCTTAACACCGGATCATCGCAACTAGCTAGCTGCAACCGAATGGCTGTTGTTGTTGTTGGCCAATCACCGCTGTCCAGAAGCAAGCCCCAGTTAGCCTTGAGCAAGCCTCGAGCCAGGCCCATCTCCTGGCTATCTACCTTTCTGTCAACCGGACGGGACCCCCTAGTGTTGACACAGAGCCCCGCCGATCCATCACGACTGGTCTGCCGACGTAATCGTCTGATGTGGTTTCAACAGGCTTCCCGTTGCGACGACCATGAAGATCCATCTGCTATCCCCGGCCCGCTAGCACACGCAATCAACAGCCGTGCCTCCTGCTCGCCTGTGCTGTAGCAGTCACTGAACTGCTCCCGGACTCACCTATTGCTGTTCACTGAACCTTATGATCACTCAGCTACACAGCAGATGCCTGCTGGACTGTTCCTTTATACGGTACCCCATCCTGTTTATTTGTTTAGCCTCAGCTCAAACTTTCGTCGCCATTACCAGCTGTTGTCTTAGCTCTCTCGAATAACACCTGTGATTGCTTTATGCCTCTCTCCCATGTCAATATGCCTTGCCTATTGCTGTTTCGGTTAGTTCTTACTGTACTTTTTCACTGTAGAGCCCCCAGTCCCGCTCAACCTGCCTCAGCAATATACTGTAGAGATAGCCTGCAGAGCTCTATCATACTATCCAGGTCTGTGCCCAAACAGTTTGATCTTCTACTTCTAAAAATCCACTTTTCCAGAAATAAGTATCTCACTGTTGCCGCTTGCTACAGAACCCCCTCAGCCCCCAGCAGTGCCCTGGACACCATATGTGAATTGATTTCCCCCCATCTATCCTCAGAGTTTGTATTGCTTGCTGACCTAAACTGGGATATGCTTAACACCCCGGCCGTCCTACAATCTAAACTAGATGCCCTCAATCTCACACACATTATCAAGGAACCTACCAGGTACAACCCTAAATCCGTTAACATGGGCACCCTCATAGATATCATCCTGACTATTTTACCCTCTAAATACACCTCTGCTGTCTTCAACCAGGATCTCAGCGATCACTGCCTCATTGCCTGCGTCCGTAATGGGTCCGCGGTCAAACGACCACCCCTCATCACTGTCAAACGCTCCCTAAAACACTTCAGTGAGCAGGCCTTTCTAATTGACCTGGCCCTGGTATCCTGGATGGATATTGACCTCATTCCGTCAGTAGAGGATGCCTGGTTGTTCTTTAAAAGTGCTTTCCTCTCCATCTTAAATAAGCATGCACCATTCAAAAAATGCAGAACTAAGAACAGATATAGCCCCTGGTTCACCCCAGACTTGACTGCCCTTGACCAGCACAAAAACATCCTGTGGCGTACTGCATTAGCAAAGAACAGCCCCCGCGATATGCAACTTTTCAGGGAAGTCAGGAACCAATATACACAATCAGTTAGGAAAGCGAAGGCTAGCTTTTTCAAACAGAAATTTGCATCCTGTAGCACTAACTCCAAAAAGTTTTGGGACACTGTAAAGTCCATGGAGAATAAGAGCACCTCCTCCCAGCTGCCCACTGCACTGAGGCTAGGAAACACTGTCAGTACCGATAAATCTACGATAATTGAAAATTTCAACAAGCATTTTGCTATGGCTGGCCATGCTTTCCACCTGGCTACCTCTACCCCGGCCACCAGCTCTGCACCCTCCGCTGCAACTTGCCCTTGTCCCCCCCCCGCTTCTCCTTCACCCAAATTCAGATAGCTGATGTTCTGAAAGAGCTGCAAAATCTGGACCCCTGCAAATCAGCTGGGCTAGACAATCTGGACCCTTTCTTTCTAAAATTAGCAGCCGAAATTGTCGCAACCCCTATTACCAGCCTGTTCAACCTCTCTTTTTTGAAATCATCTGAGATCCCCAGAGATTGGAAAGCTGCTGCGGTCATCCCCCTCTTCAAAGGGGGTGACACTCTAGATCCAAACTGTTACAGACCTATATCAATCCTGCCCTGCCTTTCGAAAGTATTTGAAAGCCAAGTTAACAAACAGATCACCGACCATTTTGAATCCCACCGTACCTTCTCCGCTATGCAATCTGGTTTCCGAGCTGGTCATTGGTGCACCTCAGCCACGCACAAGGTCCTAAACTATATTATAATCGCGATCGATAAAAGACAGTACTGTGCAGCAGTCTTCATCGACCTGGCCAAGGCTTTCGACTCCGTCAATCACTGCATTCTTATTGGCAGACTATATAGCCTTGGTTTCTCAAATGACTGCCTCGCCTGGTTCACCAACTACTTCTCAGATAGAGTTCAATGTGTCAAATCGGAGGGCCTGTTGTCTGGACCTCTGGCAGTCTCAATGGGGGTGCCACAGGGTTCAATTCTCGGGCCGACTCTATTCTCTGTGTATATCAATGATGTCGCTCTTGCTGCTGGTGACTCTCAGATCCACCTCTATGCAGACGACACCATTTTGTATACAGTGAGGGAAAAAAGTATTTGATCCCCTGCTGATTTTGTACGTTTGCCCACTGACAAAGAAATGATCAGGTTATAATTTTAATGGTAGGTTTATTTGAACAGTGAGAGACAGAATAACAACAACAAAATCCAGAAAAACGCATGTCAAAAATGTTATAAATTTAATTTGCATTTTAATGAGGGAAATAAGTATTTGACCCCCTCTCAATCAGAAAGATGTCTAGCTCCCAGGTGTCTTTTATACAGGTAACGAGCTGAGATTAGGAGCACACTCTTAAAGGGAGTGCTCCTAATCTCAGTTTGTTACCTGTATAAAAGACACCTGTCCACAGAAGCAATCAATCAATCAGATTCCAAACTCTCCACCATGGCCAAGACCAAAGAGCTCTCCAAGGATGTCAGGGACAAGATTGTAGACCTACACAAGGCTGGAATGAGCTACAAGACCATCGCCAAGCAGCTTGGTGAGAAGGTGACAACAGTTGGTTGTAAGGGATCGGGGGTTGGCTGGGTCTAGACAGAGTCCCCGATCTACAGAGAGGGGGAGTCATCAGACTCGATCTGGTTCACCTGAGTTCTGAGCACACCTGTCAGTAATTAGTGTAGGATTTAAGGTGTGCTCAGAAGTTCAGTCGGTGCGAGGTATTGTTCCATTGTGACTTGCTAAACGTTTTGTTCCGAGAGAGAGAGAGAGAGAGAGAGAGTTTGTTGTTTTTGATTACCCGTGTATCCGACCTGTGCCTTGTTGTTTGACTCCCCGTATTGCTTAATCCTCTGCTTGTCTACCCCAGTGATTACCGTTCTCTGATCCTGTGCCTGTGCCCTCGACTACGACTAAGCCCGCTCCCTTGGTACCTCTGCCTGTCTATGCCTGGCCCGGTTTTGACCACAGCCCGCCCGACCACGATTAAGCTATTCCCTTGTCTGTCCTCTAATAAAGCATCGCTATTCTGCGATTGGATCTTACCACTCTGTCCGAGTATTCATTACATTGGTGCGATTATTCGCAAATGGAAGAAACACAAAATAGCTGTCAATCTCCCTCGGCCTGGGGCTCCATGCAAGATCTCACCTCGTGGAGTTGCAATGATCATGAGAACGGTGAGGAATCAGCCCAGAACTACACGGGAGGATCTTGTCAATGATCTCAAGGCAGCTGGGACCATAGTCATCAAGAAAACAATTGGTAACACACTATGCCGTGAAGGACTGAAATCCTGCAGTGCCCGCAAGGTCCCCCTGCTCAAGAAAGCACATATACAGGCCCGTCTGAAGTTTGCCAATGAACATCTGAATGATTCAGAGGAGAACTGGGTGAAAGTGTTGTGGTCAGATGAGACCAAAATCGAGCTCTTTTGCATCAACTCAACTCGCCGTGTTTGGAGGAGGAAGAATGCTGCCTATGACCCCAAGAACACCATCCCCACCGTCAAACATGGAGGTGGAAACATTATGCTTTGGGGGTGTTTTTCTGCTAAGGGGACAGGACAACTTCACCGCATCAAAGGGACGATTGACGGGGCCATGTACCGTCAAATCTTGGGTGAGAACCTCCTTCCTCAGCCAGGGCATTGAAAATGGGTCGTGGATGGGTATTCCAGCATGACAATGACCCAAAACACTAGGCCAAGGCAACAAAGGAGTGGCTCAAGAAGAAGCACATTAATGTCCTGGAGTGGCCTAGCCAGTCTCCAGACCTTAATCTCATAGAAAATCTGTGAAGGGAGCTGAAGATTCGAGTTGCCAAACGTCAGCCTCGAAACCTTAATGACTTGGAAAAGATCTGCAAAGAGGAGTGGGAAAAAATCCCTCCTGAGATGTGTGCAAACCTTTGTGGCCAACTACAAGAAACGTCTGACCTCTATGATTGCCAACAAGGGTTTTGCCACCAAGTACTAAGTCATGTTTTGCAGAGGGGTCAAATATTTATTTCCCTCATTAAAATGCAAATCAATCTATAACATTTTTGACATGCGTTTTTCTGGATTTTTTTGTTGTTATTCTGTCTCTCACTGTTCAAATAAACCTACCATTAAAATTATAGACTGATCATGTCTTTGTCAGTGGGCAAACGTACAAAATCAGCAGGGGATCAAATACTTTTTTTCCCTCACTGTACATCTGGCCCTTCATTGGACACTGTGTTAACAAACCTCCCAACGAGCTTCAATGCCATACAGCACTCCTTCCATAGCCTCCAACTGCTCTTAAACACTAGTAAAACTAAATGCATGCTCTTCAATCGAACGCTGCTTACACCAGCCCGCCCGACTAGAATCACTACTCTCGGCGGTTCTGACTTAGAATATGTGGACAACTACAAATACCTAGGTGTCTGGTTAGACCGTAAACTCTCCTTCCAGACTCACATTAAGCATCTCCAATCCAAAGTTAAATCTAGAATCGGCTTCCTATTTTGCAACAAAGCCTCCTTCACTCATGCTGCCAAACATGCCCTCGTAAAACTGACTATCCTACCGATCGTTGACTTCGGCGATGTCATTTACAAAATAGCCTCCAACACTCTACTCAGCAAATTGGATGTAGTCTATCACAGTGCCATCCGTTTTGTCACCAAAGCCCCATATACTACCCACCATTGTGACCTGTACGCTCTCGTTGGCTGGCCCTCACTACATATTTGTCGCCAAACCCACTGGCTCCAGGTCATCTATAAATCACTGCTAGGCAAATCCCCGCCTTATCTTAGCTCATTGGTCACCATAGCAACACCCACCTGTAGTATGCGCTCCAGCAGGTATATCTCACTGGTCATCCCCAAAGCCAACACCTCCTTTGGCCGCCATTCCTTCCAGTTCTCTGCTGTCAATGACTGGAACGAACTACAAAAATCACTGAAGCTGGAGACTCTTATCTCCCTCACTACCTTTAAGCATCAGTTGTCAGAGCAGCTTACCGATCACTGCACCTGTACACAGCCCATTTGTAATTAGCCCACCCAACTACCTCATCCCCATATTGTTATTTATTTTCCTCATTTGCACCCCAGTATCTCTATTTGCACATCACTTTCTGCACATCTATCACTCCAGTGTTAATACTAAATTGTAATTATTTTGCACTATGGCCTATTTATTGCCTTACCTCCATAACTTACTACATTTGCACACACTGTATATAGATTTTCCATTATGTTTTTGACTGTACGTTTTGTTTATCCCATATGTAACTCTGTGTTGTTGTTGTTTTTATCGCACTGCTTTGCTTTATCTTGGCCAGGTCGCAGTTGTAAATGAGAACATGTTCTCAACTGGCTTAGCTGGTTAAATAAAGGTTAAATAAAAATAAAAATAAATAAATGGGGTCTTTTACATGGAAATGCCCTTGTCACACTCCAACCCATTGTAACCATATTGTTCGGGGACATTGCCACTGCCACTATACAATAAATCCCCAGCTCTTTTGTGCTTTGTGCTATAAAGAGCTCCCTTTGTTGCCTCCCCCTCACACACACATTTTTTCTGTTACACACCCACACACACACATGCATGTGCAAACACACGCATACACACACCAATTTACAAAAAATGTCATATGTAATTCTTATGGCATAAAATGTTGAATTTTATTAGGAATATGGTTTGATCAAAGAAAGGCTATTTCTTAGACTGTGTGCTTTATTGCTTCATTTCCTGTTATAAAAGGAATAAGCTACTAGCACACATTGTGACAACCAACCCCATACTGTGTGACAACCAACCCCATGCTGTGTGACAACCAACCCCATGCTATGTGACTGTTACAACCAACCCCATGTTGTGTGACAACCAACCCCATACTGTGTGACAACGAACCCCATGCCGTGTGACAACCAACCCCATGCCGTTCGACAACCAACCCCATGCTGTGTGACAACCAACCCCATGCTGTGTGACAACCAACCCCATACTGCGTGACTGTGACAACCAACCCCCTACTGTGTGACAACCAACCCCATGCTGTGTGACAACCAACCCCATACTGTGTGACTGTGACAACCAACCCCATGCTGTGTGACAACCAACCCCATACTGTGTGACTGTGACAACCAACCCCATGCTGTGTGACAACCAACCCCATACTGTGTGACTGTGACAACCAACCCCATACTGTGTGACAACCAACCCCATACTGTGTGACAACCAACCCCATGCTGTGTGACAACCAACCCTGCGATGGGGCTGGTGGACAGAGTGTGTTTGATGGCTTATAACTCCATGTTGGAATACGATATGAGGATAAAAAAGGGTCCTCATTTCTACCCAAGACGTTGGTCTTTCTCCTAATATTGAAAACAATATTGTAAGATATAGTGGTGGTGAGAAATACATACAAGAGTAAAAAGTGACAACCAACCCCAGTCTCCCCTATGTGTTGTATTTACTGTTATATTTGCTGTTATCATCATATAATATCATATAGGCCTAATTATATACATTTATGTGACATCTAAAGGACTCATTTAGATCCTCAACCATGGGGCTTTCCAAAGGTATTTTCTCATCACTGCCACTAATATAACAAACCATGTGGTTAATTCAAATTGGAGTTGGTATGCACGGAAACAATGGACATATTTTTTCGGGACATTTTTACTGTGTGTCCAATTTGGCTTCTAAATTTAGAGGGTGTGTATATTAAATCTTCAGATTTGGCCTTTTTGGCTTCCTCGTCAGCTAGTGTCACGCCCTGACTCTGGGGACTCTTATTTGTTGAGTCAGGGTGTGATTTTCTATGTTGTGTAGTTCTATGTTTTCTATCTAGTATGTCTAGATCTATGTTTGGCCGGGTGTGTTTCCCAATCAGAGGCAGCTGTCGCTCGTTGTCTCTGATTGGGGAGCATACTTAGGCAGCCTATTGACAATTAGGTGTTGTGGGATCTTGTTCTGTATAAGGTATGTTGTTTGTGTCTACCTTGGACTTCACGTTTCGTTTATTGTTTTGTCGAGTGTTTATTAAGTTTAAATAAACATGTATGCATATCACGCTGCGCCTTGGTCTGACCCGTCTATGAACGAACGTGACAGCTAGTAAAGCGAGCTCTGTGAGCCGTCTGGTCTGTATCTCATACAGACTCATTATCTCTGTCAGTGGCTTTGACCCCTGACCCCATGGTGTCACCTATGATCTGAGTCTGCCACATGGGTCGAATGCTCTTTATTAGCCACCTAAATGGGCTTAGCAGACGCCTATCAGAGGGGAAACAAGAGACAGTTGAAAGCAGCAGCAGCTTGACCATGTGGTGTATGTCCAAATTTAAATTGGAACACTATAGTGGCCCATGGTGATCCCTCCTCATCCCAATGTGTGAAGGTGAAGTTAAGAAACTTTCCGAGGAGGGATGAGTAGTTATTATATAAACCACAAGCAGGGCTGTTGATCTGCCTTGTGATGAGGCATACAGTCTAGTGTATACAGTACAGTGAATTTAGAAAGACCCTGCAGTCCCAGTCTCAGCCTTTGGGTGCGTCCGAAATATAGTGCATTATGGACCCTGGTCAAAGGTAGTGCACTAAATAGGGAATAGAGTGTCATTTCAGAGGCAGTCTCAGTCTACCTCCACCACTACACCAGAGGAGTTAGTTAACTAGCTTTTCCAAGGCAGCCAGATGGAGAGGTCAACATGTATCTCCTCTGTAGCTAAATTGGTAGAGCATGGTGCTTGTAACGCCAGGGTATTGGGTTCGATCCCCGGGACCACCAATACGTTAATAAAATGTATGCACACATGACTGTAAGTCGCTTTGGATAAAAGTGTCTGCTAAATGGCATATTATTATCTCTGACTAGGCCCCAGAAGACAACCTCCTCCATGTGGTCCATATAAAAGAAACAACAGACACGCTTTCAGTTTTTATAACACTCTGCCTCTGCCGATGATCTTTTATCTACGTTTTCATTAGATTTTCAGTGTATACACATACAAACACAAAGTACTTCAATGTTTCCAACCTCCCCTGAAATCCAAGACTCCCGAAAACAAATGTCCATATTTGGCGTCTAAGAGGAGGCATGAATACACCCTCATTACAAAGATTTGAGTCAGGTTTATGTACGCAGTTGTTCTTTCTACCTGTAGGGGTTAGACAAAATAAGAATAAAATATTATCCAGTCTAAAATTAGGACATTGGCAACGTGAGGATGCAATGTGAATCACCACAACACAGTTCTGTCTAAAGGGTACTTCATATCTGTCCATCACTGTGGTACAAGATCTCAAGTCTGTGTGTGTGTGGCTGCGTGTCAGCTGTGTGTGTGTGTGTGTGTGTGTGTGTGTGTGTGTGTGTGTGTGTGTGTCCGTGCATGTGTGTGTTTATGTGTGCGAAGAATGAGAGAGATGAGCGTCTTTGTCTCCACTCTGACGGTCTAATCCTCCTGTCTGTCTGTCTTTGTTGTTTGTTTACAGCTCAGCTTCCCAGTGATCTCCAGTAACAGCAGCATTAGCAGCACAGAGGACATCAAACCCCCACTGGGCCATAACAGAGTGCTAAAGGTTCCTGCTCAGCCCACAGGCACCTGTCTCTCCCTTAACAAACACATCTGTGCCATCTGTGGAGACCGCGCCTCAGGTCAGCACCCCAAACGTCCCCACAACAGCCCCACAATGTCTCCCTGGTCCCCAATACAGGGCCCTACAGGCTGGGGGATCCCTCTCATGTCAGACTGCTGATCCTTGTCATTCTACTGTACAAGCACTAAGGGAAGACCTAACTAAACCTTTGTATGTATTGTTCTGGCAGGTAAACACTATGGAGTATATAGCTGTGAAGGTTGCAAGGGCTTCTTCAAGAGAACAGTGAGGAAGGAGCTGACGTATACCTGTCGAGACAACAAGGACTGTCTGATTGACAAGCGCCAGCGCAACCGCTGCCAGTACTGCCGATACCAGAAGTGTCTGGCCATTGGCATGAAGAGAGAAGGTATGCTCCAGGCAATGACCTGAGAGAGTGAGCACAGACAGACACAAATGTGAAACCAACATCAGTCAGTGTGCTGCTAACAGCTTTGCTTCCTCCACTTTCTCTGTCCCCTTATTGCGCTCAAACCAGTGGTCCTCTGATCGCAAACACACATGACTGACCTCCTCGACAATGTACCAACCAAAAGGGTATCCTACGAAGCAGGTTTGAGGAGTTAGCGAGGTAACTTTGGTCAACTCTGAGTTCAACTCGGGATAACCAGTCAGGTACATTTTTGTCAGGTACATTTCTATGCCACAAATCCTTCAGAACTAACTTGATCCAGAGAAGGCTAACTCAGGGCTAACTCCATTTATCCTGAATGAAGTGTCTGAGCCACAAGTTGAGGACCAATGAAATCAGATTCCCTCCCTCTCGCAAAGATTGCGTCATTATCCCCTTAATTTGAGGAAGAAGACTGATTAAATATTTTATTAATCAAATGCATTTTTGTGTGTTAAAAATGTTTAAAAAGTGAAAATACCTATCACATTATTTAGTAATGAAAGAATGCATTTGAAACTTCACGGACACGTTTATATGACAAATACATTTTTTATAATTATGATGAAATTATTTTATCGATAGGAGTGGGAAAAGAAGGTGCTCATGCATTGATAAGCAAAACCAAAGATAAGTAATACAATAAAAAGCTTTCTGAAAGCCTATTTCACACCATAGCCTGCTGAATTTGCAGGATAACTTTTCTTCATTTTGATTTTGGCACAAATGAAAATGTGGCTCTGACTTGCCCATGGATTGATGTTTCAGCATTGTCTCAATGAAGAGTTTGGCGTTCGACTAGCCACATGTGACATGCACGCACAGTTACAAGCCTGTTAGAGTTAGCGGCAGGCAGACTAGCAATATCCACCGTCGTAGTACGGATGAAGCCTGAGTTGGAATGTCAAGCTAACTTAAGCTACTTAGCTTTAGCTTGCTTCATAGGATACCCCTCTGCTGTGCTACCACAGTGTCTAGGGTACAGCGTCTGTCACCACCGTGTCTAGGTTACAGCGTCTGTCACCACAGTGTCTAGGATACAGCGTCTGTCAGCACAGTGTCTAGGGTACAGCGTCTGTCACCACAGTGTCTATGGTACAGCGTCTGTCACCACAGTGTCTAGGGTACAGCGTCTGTCAGCACAGTGTCTAGGGTACAGCGTCTGTCAGCACAGTGTCTAGGGTACAGCGTCTGTCAGCACAGTGTCTATGGTACAGCGTCTGTCAGCACAGTGTCTAGGGTACAGCGTCTGTCAGCACAGTGTCTATGGTACAGCGTCTGTCACCACAGTGTCTAGGATACAGCCTCTGTCACCACAGTGTCTAGGGTACAGCGTCTGTCAGCACAGTGTCTAGGGTACAGCATCTGTCACCACAGTGTCTATGGTACAGCGTCTGTCAGCACAGTGTCTAGGGTACAGCGTCTGTCACCACAGTGTCTAGGGTACAGCGTCTGTCACCACAGTGTCTAGGGTACAGCATCTGTCACCACAGTGTCTAGGGTACAGCATCTGTCACCACAGTGTCTAGGGTACAGCGTCTGTCAGTACAGTTCCTGTATCTACCCTCAGGGCATGGCTGGTGAAGAAATTAACTTACTGTGTAGAATAGGGGTGCTTTTCCTGCTTATTGTACTATTTATCATGTTTAATGTTTGATTGGATCTTAGCCAATAGTTTCATATACTGAGACACCATTGTAAACAAAATATAACTTTTAAAGCTTACCTTTCATAAACTCTTCATAAGGCCATTCATATCAAATGTCATGCTATAAAAGGAGCTCTTCACCTTGGTGGAGTAGGCTAAGAGCATTCCCTACTTCTCTGAGCTGGCCCTGGACAGTGTTGTAAGGGGCTGGCTAAAACAGCAGCTACATCCCAATGCTTTGACCCCAGCTGTGCAGGAGGAGCGCCAGCGAGCCAAGGAGAGGAGCGAGAGCGAGGCGGACTCGTTAGGTTGTGCTAACGAGGACATGCCTGTGGAGAGGATTGAGGAGGCGGAGCTCGCTGTGGAGCCAAAGACCAACACATACATTGAGGGGAGCCTGGGCCTGCCCACCAACTCAGTGAGCTCACTGCACACAACATAACTTATTACTGATCACTTACTATACTCTATGACTGTAGAGTAGCCTACACTGTATATTACATACTGGCACAACAACCTCATTCCCCCATCTTATGACAACTGCCTAGGGGGGAAGTATAGCTGAGACACAAGCTGAATGTCTTTCAATGTGCTTTAGAAACCAGCACAGAAAAGTGCTCTTGGTAGAGGCCATATTTAACCCAAGCTCATTGAATCCCTCCAGCTCAGGTCTCTGATGACCTCTTGACCCCCTGACCTCCACTCTGTCTCCCCAGCCCAACGACCCTGTGACCAATATATGCCAGGCAACAGACAAGCAGCTCTTTTCCTTGGTGGAGTGGGCCAAGATGATCCCCCACTTCTCAGAGCTGGCCCTGAATGACCAGGTCATCCTCCTAAGAGCAGGTATCGTCTGATCTCATCTGCTGTGGTCAAACCTGTGAGGGGAAATAATTAATCCAAACAGAGCAGCTCTGTCAACTGGGATCTACTCGTCTTTTACTTGATTTCTTGTTGTTTATACAGGGCAGTATTCATTAGGCACCAAACGGACCCAAACAATGAGGCGATGTTTGAACTTGTCCAACATGAAATGCTCATTTACATTTTCCGTTGTAAAATGTTTTGTTACGTTTCCCATTGCATGCCTTAATGAATACGACCCAGTTAGAGGTTTCCCTCTCTACCCCTCAGGGTGGAATGAGCTCCTCATAGCCTCTTTCTCCCATCGCTCCATCACTGTGAACGACAGCATTCTGCTGGCCACCGGCCTCCACGTGCATCGGAACAGCGCCCACAGTGCAGGAGTGGGGGCCATCTTTGACAGGTAACCAATAACAGCCTGGCCCACAGATCCATATCATCATAATTAGTCCATTCATTGGTACCATTGGATACTTGAATAATATACCCTATAGTGGATTGAGTACTATCATAATATTACAGTTAAAGTAAGATTTAAAGTGTTACTGTTAACAAACCCAATTTTACTCCACATTCCTGCTAAATGTACTGTGGGTTTTTCAAGTGCATTACATGCTCATTGCTCATTGCCTTTCTATCGCAAAATCTGTCCTAATTATGCCTGCATGCTTTATAATCCAACCCTTTTGAGAAGGTTTGATGTAGGATGATGAATATTTCCCTAAGATTTAATCTGACATGCAACATTTTGTGCATTTGTGATGCTCGCAGAATGATGAATTAATCTTTGAATATTTAACTCTGAAGAGTTGTTGGGCTCATGAATTCTAAACAGAGATACATCCAAGGCTATCAGAGGAATGTTGGAAGTGTATTAAAGTAGCTTGTTTTACCTGCACAGAGTGCTGACTGAGCTGGTGTGTAAAATGCGAGACATGCAGATGGACAGGTCTGAGTTAGGGTGCCTTCGAGCCATCATTCTCTTCAACCCAGGTAGGTCTGCTGTACATCACACACTCCATCCTGGCTAGCAACTCATCAAGCTGGACTGTACATGAATGGGACAAATACTCTTATTTCAGGCCTATTCTTTGTCAAGGACAAAGACTCTTATTTCAGGCCTATTCTTTGTCAAGGTTGCTTTGTGTTGTTTACATAGTAATAATGATGTAGTATATACCTGTCCAATGCATATTCATTTGTAAATGTGAAGAGGAGGAATTTGAAGACAGTATGACTTGTGTTACTGAGCACTATATAAAATATATAAAGCACAATATAAAATATAGAAAGCACTATATAAAATGAGGTGAATAGAGCAGGGTTATATTTACTGTTAATTCACCACACCCACATCATAGTATAAACCAGGCTCTCTCTGATTCAAACCCAGTAGCCCCGGGCAGGTGTTTGCGTGCTTATGTGTTTGTGCCTGTGTGAGTGTGTGTGTGTGTGTGTGTGAGTGTGTGTGTGTGTGTGTGTGAGAGAGTGTGTGTGTGTGAGTGAGTGTGTGTGTGTGTGTGAGAGAGGGTGTGAGTGTGTGTGTGTGAGAATGTGTGTGTATGTGTGCCTGCATGCATGCTGCAGACTGATGTGGATGTTATTTTTGCAAATGTATTAAAAATTAAAAACAGAAATACCTTATTGACATAAGTATTCAGACCCTTTGCTATGAGACTCGAAATTGAGCTCAGGTGCATTGATTGGACATGATTTGTAAAGGCACACACCTGTCTATATAAGGTCCCACAATTGACAGTGCATGTCAGAGCAAAAAACAAGACATGATGTCGAAGGAATTGTCCGTAGAGCTCTGAGACAGGATTGTGTCGAGGCACAGATCTGGGGAAGGGTACAACAACATTTCTGCAGCATTGAAGGTCCCCAAGAACACAGTGACCTCCATCATTCTTAAATGGAAGAAGTTTGGAACCACCAAGACTCTTCCTAGAGCTGGCCGCCCGACCAAACTGAGCAATCGGGGGAGAAGGGCCTTGGTCAGGAAGGTGACCAAGAACCCGATGGTCACTCTGACAGAGCTCCAGAGTTCCTCTGTGGAGATGGGAGAACCTTCCAGAAGGACAACCATCTTTGCAGCATTCCACCAAGTAAATGGCAAATGTCAGCACACTTGGAGTTTGCCTAAAGGCACCTAAAGGACTCTCAGACCATGAGAAACAAGATTCTCTGGTCTGATGAAACCAAGATTGAACTCTTTGGCCTGAATGCCAAGCGTCACATCTGGAGGAAACCTGGCACCATCCCTACGGTGAAGCATGGTGGTGGCAGCATCATGCTGTGGGGATGTTTTTCAGCGGCAGGGACTGGGAGACTAGTCAGGATGGAGGGAAAGATGAACGGAGCAAAGGACAGAGATCCTTGATGAAAATCTGCTCCAGAGCGCTCAGGACCTCAGACTGGGGCGAAGGTTCACCTTCCAACAGGACAACGACCCTAAGCACACAGCCAAGACAACGCAGGAGTGGCTTCAGGACAAGTCGCTGAATGTCCTTGAGTGGCCCAGTCAGAGCCCGGACTTGAACCCGATCTAACATCTCTGGAGAGACCTGGAAATAGCTGTGCAGCAACGCTCCCCAACCAACCTGACAGAGCTTGAGAGGATCTGCGGAGAATAATGGGAGAAACTCCCCAAATACAGGTGTGCCAAGCTTGTAGAGTCATACCCAGGAAGACTCAAGGCTGTAATCGCTGCCAAAGGTGCTTCAACAAAGTACTGAGTAAAGGGTCTGAATAGTTATGTTTTTATTTTTTATAAATTTGCACACATTTCTAAAAACATGTTTTTGCTTTGTCATTATAGGGTATTGTGTGTCGATTGATGAGGGGGAACATTTTTTAAAATCAATTTTAGAATAAGGCTGTAATGTAACAAAATGTGGAAAAAGTCAAGGGGTCTGAATACTTTCTGAATGCACTGTATAGGCCTTCATTAAAATGTGTGTGAAAGGCAACCTTTTTCTAAGATACTGTATTCAGTTCGGTACTTAAGTACTCAGTTCGGTACTTGATCTCAATGACTTAAACCTCAAATGGTTTGGATTCATATAAACAGAAGCCTATGTTAACTCAGTTTAGTTTCTCTGATGAATTCATTCATAGGCTATTGTCAAACAAACATCTTAATTTACCATTTTCCTTGCTGGTTTCTCTCTACATAAGACTGTTCATAAGTCTGGTAATATTTGCCTTCAAAGTCCACGTCATTGACCTCAGACGCTACACGCTCAGTGTGCTTATTTTCAACCAAACCTTAAAGCTAACATCAGTTTGCAAAGTTAAACCATTGTTTGGGTTGGACCAGTACACTGTTAAGTAGTTTACTACTGCCCTCTCCTGGGCAGACATTTTTATTACACAGGACTTTTAATGTGTGTTGTGTGTTGGTCTAAAAGTGATATGGAACACAGAGTTGGTGACCTTGTCACCAGTAACACATTCTGTTCTGTTTACATATGTGTAGACTCCAAAGGCTTGTCAAACCCAGGGGAGGTTGAGGCACTCAGAGAAGGGGTGTATGCTTCACTGGAGGCATACTGTAAACACAAATACCCCGACCAACCAGGAAGGTACTGGTCATTGTTTGGTCATCACCAAATATTTGATGAACCTACTTCTACGGTACTTAGTGACATATGTCAATTCAGCCAGATGTATAATAGTTTTGTTATCATCATAATCAATCTTTACATGTTCTTGTCTTATACAGATTTGCCAAACTGTTACTTCGATTGCCAGCCCTACGTTCCATTGGCCTCAAGTTTCTGGAGCACCTGTTCTTCTTCAAACTGATAGGGGATACACCCGTTGACACATTCCTCATGGAAATGTTGGAAGCTCCACACCAAATGACAAAACAGCACTGCAGTTAAAGACTGTCTGTCCGCTACTTGCCTCAAAAGGAAGAGAGCTGGTGATTTGCCTGATTGACAGACTCAGTTTGAACACAAGAACTGGTGGACAGCAAATCTTTGGCTTTGTTTAATGTACAGTAGGTGTATTTATCATAGTTTTGTGTCAGAGAGAAATGTCTTGAAGGTAAGGGCCAGAGTCTGCAACAACTCAAAGCATGAGATCTTTTTCACAATGAATGATAATGTCTTCACTCTTCCGATTCAACACTGAACATTGTCATAATTGGTCGCTACTCCGTGCCACAAACCAGAGGCCTCTCACCTCATCATCATCCTGCCTTAGACAGGTCTACCTCTTGTAGTCATTCTCATATTCTGTCATAATAACAACATGGTCTGGCCAAACTGTTGTCTAGGATGATCTCCTGTTATACATGTAAACCTCACCTCAGTCTCTCGCAGTTGGTCTTCTTCTCCTCCTCAATGAAAATGTTCTCATGTGACTATATACGGCAGACAAGAAGGTCATGCATTTTTAACTGGAACCCCTGGAAAAGGGTTCAATTAACTTCAGCTCAAAACCAGGGGTCATTTTCCTACTCCTAGCACTTAACTTTGATCTTTGTCAAGCAGAGGATGGCTCGAGTCAGTAGCCCACTGTGAGGACAGAGGAGGCTGATCTGAGGAGCTTTAGGAGGACTGGCTCATTGTAATGGCTGGAATGGAATAAATGGAACGGTATCAAACACATCAACCATATGGAAACCTCATGTTTGACTCCGTTCCATTTATTTCATTCCAACTATTACAATGAGCCCATCCTCCTATAGCTCCTCTCACCAGCCTCCACTGTGTGACTAGCATGCAACTGTAGTGGGGAGGATCAATAAAGGGGTCAGTCTTCACTAATGGTAATTCACATATCAACATGTAGTGCTAATTTCTGTATTGCTGTGGGTTTTTTATACTGCTGTTGTTTGCTTTGTGTCGGTATTTCCAAAGAGTAGCAGTGGTGAACATCTTCAGAATGATGCGTAGGTGTGTAGGTCAGTGTTTCCCAACTCCAGTCCTCGAGTACCCCCAACAGCAAACATTTTTGTTGTAGCCCCAGAAAAACTAACTTGATTCAATTCGTTGATGGCCTGATGATTAGTTGACGAGTTGGATCAGGTGTGCTTGTTCGGGGCAACAACAATGTTTACTGGTGAGGGAACTGGAGGAATGGAGTTGGGAAACACTGGTGTAGGGGACTGTCTGTAGTTTCTGAGGGATATAAAACACACATAAAGCCTCTGCCGCCCCCTGGTGCATCACACAAAAGTAATGCAACTGTCCAAGGACTTTGGGACATGAGAAGATAAGTGACCTTATTACTTTGTAACTACTGTGTATTTACAGTGTAATAAGTGTTGTAATTACTCATTGCTACAATGTGTTACAATGTTACTTACAGCAGTAACCCTACCTAACCAATCCTATCGTACAGTATTAAAGTGTAATAATGGGTAAGTGCAATACTTGTTACACTGTAGTACCAGGAATAATTACACTGTAATAAGGGCACTGTAATTTAAAGTCTTACCCACATTTCCCAGTCCATGCATAACAGAAGACAAGAGAAGAATGATTGATGAGAACAAAAGATGGTAGAGCAATTTTTAAGAATCGTTTCAGTCAGAAGTACAATATTCAGTTAGAGCAGCCAGAAATATTGTTGGAACCTCAGATTTATTTTAATTGTATTTATTGAGTCTTTATTTGATCAGGGAGTCATACTGAGACCAATGTCTCTTTTACAGATGAGCCCTGAATAACAGAAATGAAAGAAATACAAAATTCAAGCAGAAAGAAAATACAGTCATAACAAACAGTTCATTTAAAAATGAAATCACCACCAATAAATTAACAATAGCAGCAAACATAGCCTACATCTAGTTCATCCACGTTTTTAAGCAAATGTATTAGTTAATATTTTAGCATCATCAATGCTTACTAAGCCACTCAGGACTAGTGTATTTAGGATTAACAATAATCTTGCTTTGTTTTTCCTCATTTAAAACATGGCAACATGTCGTTTAAAGGGGCAATCTATGATTGATACATCAATTTTTGGTATTTAAAATTAATTATATATAGCCATTGAATATTGAAGAATATAAATTATATATGCCTCATGAGATTAGTTCAGCTGTCTTACTCCATCAAACTGTTGTGTTTACTGGGAAATAAACAAAGAACAAATGTAGTAACTAGTGATGTTTAATGATTTATTTATTCACCATCTTTATTTGACCTGTTCTGTTTAGAGAGCATGTATTATTGGCTTACCTGAGCAGAGAACACGCTGTAGACCTGACTACATTTACACCTGTGGCCCCAGGCCAGACCATGCTCTAGGCCAGTTATAGCTGATGTCACATTTTGCAATGCACCCATGCACCAATTCAACCCAATGAACCGATGACGTCAATTCCCCAATGATGTATAGTTTTAAATCATGTGTTTGGCATGTATTTTACAACTTGTTCGTTTTTATAATGTAATAAAAATATGAATGGTGTTAGCTAGAAAGGTGGCAAGGTGTGTATCTTACTTTATTTGTTGATGTGGAAGTGTTCACAAACACATACAAGTATCTGTAATATGCTATGTGTATGTCTCATACTGATGCTGAGGGCAATATGTAGACTGTTATGTTACATGCATACCTGTAGAGGGAGACATTGCTTTTTTGTAAAGTGGCATTGACCAAACTAGTACAGGAGGAGCATAGTGAACTGGGGTGATATCACAAGACAAAAGTATTTTGGCAGCCAAAGACGAGGCACATTTTTAATAAGGTATATCTTGCTTTTCCCAAAGCTCAAAGCACTAATACTGCTACACCTAATAATGATTGATTGAATGTGACATTAGTATTTCTGCAAAACTCCTCTGGTGTTGGCAGTCCAATAAGCAGATTTGGCAGTGCTGGTAGTCTGGTTTGAATTTAGAGGTAATGTTGGACATGGCTCAGTCTCACTCAGGTTGAAGTGATGTGTGTTGATATGACTAATCATATCCAGGGGAGTATTTGTCTCTGTTGCCCAAAGAAAAAGGTAATTAGTGTTATTTTTAAAAAGTTGATAATGCTGTTATGAAATGGTGATTGGGGAAGAGGCAAAGCATCTCTGCAGAACAATGTTGTCAAAGAAACCTAACTGTGACTTTGGTCAGCTAACGTAACATAACTGAGAATGTTTAGCCGGAGTAGAGCTCAAAGTCAAGAATGTTGTTTGAGAGGACGACTAAAGACATTTGTGTCACGATCGTTGATGAACGGGTCAGACCAAGGCGCAGCGTGATAAGCATACATGTTTATTTGACTCGAATAAACAACTACGAAACGAAACGTGAAGTCCAAGGTACACAAACAACATACCTAACACGGAACAAGATCCCACAACCCACTAGTGCCAATAGGCTACCTAAGTATGGTCCCCAATCAGAGACAACGAGCGACAGCTGCCTCTGATTGGAAACCACACCGGCCAACATAGATCTAGACGATCTAGATCTAAACCTAGAAAATACAACATAGAACATACCACACAGAAAATACACACCCTGACTCAACAAATACGAGTCCCCAGAGTCAGGGCGTGACAGTACCCCCCCCCCCAAAGGTGCGGACTCCGACCGCACAACATAAACATAACAGGGTAGGTTCCGGGTGGGCATTCCGCCTCGGAGGTGGATCCGGCTCAGGGCGTGACGACCACTTACTCTCCGCCTCCCTGTTGCGCCCCTGGTCTGGTCTGGACCTCGGCGCGCTGCTTCCTCTTCTTCCTCCCACGAAGTACCAAGCCCTGTCTGGACCCTGGTGTGGGAGACCCCGAACCTGGAGAGGGGCTGACGTCTGGGTCTGGACTGGAGCCGCTGACCAGAGCTGGACCAGGCACCGGTGGAGCGGACTGCACAGGCTCCGGACTGGAGCCGCTGACCGGAGCTGGACAGGGCACCGGTGGAGCTGACTGCTCTGGCTCCGGAGAGGAGCCGCTGACCGGATCTGGACTGGACCCGGTGGAGCGGACTGCTCTGGTTCCGGAGTGGAACAGCTGACCGGAGCTGGATCAGGCACCGGTGGAGCGGACTGCTCTGGCTCCGGAGTGGAGCCGCTGACCGGAGCTGGACTGGACCCCGGTGAAGCGGATTGCTCTGGCTCCGGAGTGGAGCAGCTGACCGGAGCTGAACTGGGCACCGGTGGAGCGGACTGCTCTGGCTCTGGAGTGGAGCAGCTGACCGGTGCCGGACCAGGCACCGGTGGAACAGGCACAGGCCGTGCCGGACACACGCACCACTGGCTTGGTGCGAGGGGCAGGAACAGGCCGGGCCGGGCTGGCGACGCGCCCCATTAGCTTGGTGCGAGGGGCACGACCAGGCCGGGCCGGCGACGCGCACCACTGGCTTGGTGCGAGGGGCAGGAACAGGCCGGGCCGGGCTGGCGACGCGCACCACTGGCTTGGTGCGAGGGGCAGGAACAGGCCGGACCGGGCTGGCGACGCGCACCATTGGCTTGGTGCGAGGGGCAGGAACGGGTCGGGCCGTACTGGGAACACGCACCACTGTCTTAGTGCGGGAAGCAGGAACGGGCCGGACCGGACTGGCGACACGCACCACTGGCTTGGTGCGAGGGGCAGGAACGGGTCGGGCCGTACTGGGAACACGCACCACTGGCTTAGTGCGGGAAGCAGGAACGGGCCGGACCGGACTGGCGACACGCACCACTGGCTTGGTGCGAGGGGCAGGAACGGGTCGGGCCGTACTGGGAACACGCACCACTGGCTTAGTGCGGGAAGCAGGAACGGGCCAGACCGGACTGGCGACACGTACCACTTTTTTGGTGCGAGGGACAGGAACAGGCCGGACCGGGCTGGCGACGCGCACCACTGGCTTGGTGCGAGGAGCAGGAACAGGACGGACCGGACTGGCGACGCGCACCACTGGCTTGGTGTGAGGGGCAGGAACGGGTCGGGCCGTACTGGGAACACGCACCACTGGCTTAGTGCGGGAAGCAGGAACGGGCCGGACCGGACTGGCGACACGCACCACTTGCTTGGTGCGAGGAGCGGGACTGGGTTCCTTTATTAATCCCAGCTCCTTCTGCTGCCTAACCAGCTCCTCTCGCTGTGCCTCTACACTTTCCTTCTCCCTTATAGCCTCCTCTAGCGCCTCCCTCTGACCGAATAACTCCTGCTCCCTCTGAACCAATAGCCCCCGTAACATGGTGGCCTCCTCTCCTAACCTGCAGACCCGCCCTTTAACGGCCTCCTGCTGCCTCGTCGTCCACACCGTGTGCCTCCCCCCAAAATGTTCTTGGGGTTGCCTCTCGGGTCTCCGTCGTCGGCACTCCTCTTCCCGTGAGGACTCCTCCGGGAGCCCCCACGAGTTAGGGAACAGAACCTCGTCGTCGTCGTCATCCTCAGACTCCTCAGTATAATACTGTTCCCACTCCTCTTCCCATGGTCGTAGGGACCCAATCTGAAAACCGACCGGGTGCAGTGGTCGGGGCTCTTCTCTCTCGCTCGAAAACCTCGGAACGTGACCGTGAAGTCCAAGGTTACACAAACACATACCTAACACGGAACAAGATCCCACAACCCACATAGTGGCCAATAGGCTACCTAAGTATGGTCCCCAATCAGAGACAACGAGCGACAGCTGCCTCTGAT